AAGTTGTAGTATATATGATTTATCTGCGGTTCTGGCTGTGTTATAAATATCTGATGATTTCTTATTATACGATATTAAAATTTATATACGTTATTTAAGTACAAGTATGCACAGACTTAATACAAGATGTTTGATTTTAGTGTCAATTTTGGTAACTATAATTGTCATTAAATTTTGGTCATAAAGCGATATTAGCGCCTTCTTCATTACTTCACTATATCACACTTCAAAGAGTAGTATCCAAGAACCTCAATCAATCTACATAGTTGCATCTACATTACAAACAACAATATTCATATCCTATTCTTCCATCAGTCCAACCGCAGATAACTACATAAGGCTGAAATCTCCGCGTAAAAAACTTTCCTGTCATTAACTCTTTTTTATTCATTTCATTGGCGGTCATCCTGCAAATCATATCAATAAGTCAGATTTAACGTCTTTGACCTTAATAAAACCTTAATATCATATACATAATAATCTGCGTTTTAGAAAATACCTGTTGTATGAAGCCTTAAAGCGATTTTAGGAAATCCGTCTCTTTCTCTTTTATGTGATGAATTCTATTTGCATACCCTGTTACAAAATTAACAAATATTTCATTTTATTTACTTACAATATTAATGTTTTAGAAGTCCAATTAAAAAATCTGTTTTTTTTTTTTTGTATTTTTTTATGCAATTTTTTATTATTATTTTCTTTTTACCTATATGTTTTTTTTTTAATATTTTGTATATACTTTATTTACATTTTATACACATATTTATAATTGAATTGAGAAATCTCTCGGATATATATTCAACAATCATGATTAAGCAGAAAATATTTTTGTTGAAATAATCGTTGAAACCATAATAATAATATAAAATAATAATAATAATAGTAATATAATGGACTTATCATCGTATATACGGTAATAATACACACGTAACATAGATATATATATAACATGTATATAAATATAAGTATACGTAATATTACACACATATTGTGTTTGTTGTCGTAGATCAAAAATAGCTTAAATTCAATTTGAAAAAAAAAAATACGTTTCTTCCCTGATTATTAAATTTCATTTTGGTAAACAAAAATTAATCATCAATATTACAAATTCGAACAGATCTGTCAAATTTAGATTTGTCAAATCATATTTTGACATAAAATATTTAAATAAATTCATATATATATTACTTTTATACCATATTACTTTATACTGTGACGATGTTCGAATTAATTTCAAAATTTTAAATATTTTTTTATTAAAATAAATTCAAAAATTCAAAATCATCTAAATTTAAATTTACTTTCCTGTATAATTTTCAAAATGCGACTTAACACACTTTTAATTTAAACTAACAATAAAATACCATTATTATGCTTTGCTTGTAAATTGTAATAAAGAAAATTCTATTGTTCGGTTTTTTATTAATCAATTAAAGAAATATAATGCCCATAAAAATATAAAATGTTAAATCTAGATAAATAATTTTTTTTGTTTTTTTTCGAAATTTATATTTTATTTGCAAATTGTTTAAACAAAAATTGCATTTATATTTGCTTTGTTTAGTTTCAGTAAATTTATTTAATCAAGTACGCAATACTTGTAAAATTTTAAATGTAAAAAAAAAAAATAAATAAAATAATCTCAGCTAACAGGATTTTCATAACATATTAAATATAAAATATGAAATTAAGCACAATTTGAAATTATTACCGTGAAAACAGCGATGTAAAAAGTAATAATACAAGTATTAGGTGTAAATTTGCACAAACATAGTTTCTGACTATGTTTATCACTATAACTAGTTTTAACACTATAAAAACTTAATTTATAAAACATATTTTGAAGAATTTACCTTATGCTATTAAAATTTGAAATTTTTGAACTAAAATAATAAATATTGAACTGTTAACATTCCTAATATACTTATTACTGATTTCGAACTTTCAAAAAATAATTCTACACAGCAAGTTAATATTTGTGTTCTATTTACATACATACATGTTCAAACTACTCATGAATTTATATGAAAAGTCTGTAAATGAAACAACTTTACACATATATTTTATTTTATTCAAATTTATAATTAAATACCAAAATAGCTCATCTGTTGTAAATGAGAAATACTATCAAAAAATAAAAAATTAACTGCACGCATCTAATCTACGCATTAGTTCGAGGTTGTGTAGTTGTTCTCAATTGTGGTTACATTTGCATGTGCAAACTACTCATGAGTAGTTTGCACATACAAATGTAACAACAAAATTTGCGAAGAAATTCACGGTAGTCAAAAATCTTGTGACATATGTGATCTATTAATTTAATTTATTAGTCAAAAATCTATACGAAAAAATTTATGATTGAAATGATGATAAAATAACTGCAAAGAAATTAAAAATTACTACAGTTAACTATTTTTAGTTTCTTACATTTAAGCAAGTTCCATTGTAATTATTATTATTTAAGGTCGATTAAATAAATTAATTTTAAAGTTTATAAAATTAGAGCCTATACAAAACAATTTTAAGCTTAACACATATGTATAAAATGAAAATATCATAAAAATGTTAATTAAATGGCACGTTCTCACATGGTTTTCTGTAAATGTTAGCGATCAAAGTAATTCTTAATATAATTTACGCGAAATCAGCACTCTTATGCAATTAAAAAAAAAATGAATAAAAAAGTTAATAAATCATGAAAAAAATTAAAATAAAAAGAAAAAAACCCTTAAATTTTATACAAATTCAATTAAATTGTTTCATTTAGTTTTAAAATAATAATCAAGAGTGGAAGAAATTTGGCCCCATAAGTGTATAAATCCTGAACAAAAAAAAAAAATACTTTCTTTAATTTCATTGTCAATCTTAATTGAAATTCTTATTTGTCACACTTAATAAATTTGTAAATTATTAATACTTATACATTTTTTTTTGCAATACAAATTCAAAATGTCCACTTAACATAATTTTATTAACATAGGGACGTTTTAAAATTAAAAAATTTTTAAAACATTGCAATTTTGATTTTCTTTATACTCGTATTTCTCGTGTATGTATGTATTATTTGGCTATAGAGTTACCATTTTTTATAAGTTGCAGTAAATTGCTGAGATAAGTCATCAGTCATTTTTATCTGTTTTAATTGAACACAATTATACTTAATTATGGTTTGGAGTAAATCTAAATAAGATAATATTTAAAAAGCAAATAGTAGTAAATGATGAAAAAATATTAAATTCGGAATGTTGAATTTGAATATCTGTTAAATTTTTACTTTTTATTATTTGGTATTTATTTTAGCTTTACTTTTGTTTTTTGAGGTTTTTTCTTTTTTAACCATTAAGTTCAATGTACTGCTTAATTAATGGGTATATATATACAAAATTTCTTTCTAAATCTAGATATCCTAAATTTTATTTTGGATATTAATTAATTTATGACCAAAAAAAAAAAAATTAGCGTTTTTTGTAAATGATTTGGTCCTTTTGCATTCTCTCGCCAATTTACATACATATATGTATGTATGTACAAAAAATGGCAATAATGAAAATATTAGGTTCATTCACAAAACCGTATTAAATTTAAAATCAGTTAACTTTCTAAAAAATAATAAGTTTTGTTTCGTAAGCTTGTTTTCTTTTTCACCAAAAATAATTATACATGTTTTTTTAAGGTGTATTAGTTCTGACATATGGACTGATGTTGTCAAAAAATAACTCAGTTATTTTAAAACTAACCTCGAGATATTTTTGAATTTTTATCTTGTCGCGTAACATTCTGACGGGAGAACAATTCTAGTATGATTTTTGCACATAAAAATTTTATAATTTTCAAAAATTACGTATTTATACGTAATTATTTTATGAATTACGTATCTTTAACTAATTTGTATTTCTAATCATAAATTCATAAGTTTTTATTTTAGTCTGATTATAAATTTTAAGTTTGATTAAAAATGACGTAATTATGATTTAATATTTTTAACTACATACATAGATAACCCCTTTTTAATTTTTTATAAGACACTTGTCAAAATCCCTTTTTGTTTATACTTTTTACCGCCTATAATGAATTCGTCAATGCAAAATGTATTAAAATTTTTTATGTTGACAACTTATCAATCAAAATTTTTTATGTGTTTACAATAAGAACTTTTATTAGTTTTTAATTTTTTTTTAATAGATCGATTTAGTTTTTTATTTTGGTGATGACAGTACAAAGCCAAACGTTTGTAAAAAAAATATTAAATTCAAATATGAAAACCTATACATACATATATGTACATATGTATGTATGTAAATATATTCTGATTTTAATTTTTTCTTTTAATTCATAATGTTAATTTTTCCGATTAATAACAATTATTGTAAACATCAAAAAAATTTCAAAAATATTTATTTTAATAAAATTAATTAAAAAAAGAAAATTACGTAAAAAAAAAAAGTGCTTACGTGTTAAAAAAAATTTCGTACTAAAATTTCAAGTACAATTTATCAAATTACAATATTCCGTTATAAAAATCATATTTAAAAAAATATAAACTGTAAAAATGACATAGTTTTATTGAATATTCGATTTTCTCTTTAAAAATTTATTTCTCTATATTATTTTTCAATGTAAAATTAATACTCTTATATCCATTATTGTTTATTTTTCATTTGTTTCATTGCAATATAATTGTAAAATTGGATTCAATGTGCATCCTTTTAATAATTTTCATTTTTCATATTACATAATATATATATAAAATATTCTCCGCCACCAACTCATTCTCTTCACTTAATTCTCTTTTCGTTATTTTATTTTATTTTATCTTCCTTCTTCAATTCGCCGCGTTAAAAAATAATTTCTGTTTGTTTCATTATATATGTATACCCATTCTCTACTATATAATATACTTTAGTCTCTACTATAATTTCATTGTCATATTGTTCCTATTTTCGCCACATTTTAAATGTCATTAAATGTTATTGTTGTTTGTCAGTCAAAATCATCAGATATATAAACATTAAAAGATTCCATAAGAGGAATTTTTTTTTTTCTTTGCATAAATATTTGATTTGAATTTGAATATTAATTATTTTCAAAAAATATTTTACGAATAAATTAATGTTAATAATATAAAAATTGTTTTTTTTGGAGAAATTATAGAGAAAGTTAAATTTTTATATTTTCTCTATAAGAATACGACCGTTTTAAAATCGACAAGAGTCTCTCTAGTCTAAAAATAATAACAAAAGTGCCAGCTAACTAATTACTTATTTCATGCACATAAAATTTATTATTTAATCAAAATTTAAATTTATTAAAAATTTACATAAATATTTAGTTTTGTTTTTAATTTAATTGAATATCAAATATTTTTTATTGTTTAAAAGTTTTTATTTTATAATCAAAAAATTCTGGATTGTGTTTAACACGAACAGAATAATTCAAATTGTACCTAGGTAGGTACATACATACATATATGTACGTCCTGTATTTTCTTTGATGTTATAATTATTACAAAATAAATTATTAAATATAATTTTTTCGCAATTCGAAGAAGGTCATATTTCAAGGGGCAAGTGCAATCGTATTATTAGAAAAAAAAAGATTTCTTAGTAACTTTTTGTTTATTTTGTTTTTATTTATAGAAAAACTTTTTTTCATTATATTATACAGAATTTGGAAAAATCGAAAAAAAGAATAAAAAAACAAAAGAAAAATTTACCTACCTATTTATCTACATCCTCACATATAATTCAATTCGCAATATTGTTTAAAAAAAGAAGAAAAAAAAAAGCTTTCATTTTGATTAAGTTTTGCAAAATACTCCGCAATTCAAATCCCACAAAATCTTCTTAAAATTAATTGCATTCGTGAATTAATTCTTCCATCATACTGGTCAAACCAATAATCACTAGTCGAAGAAGCTATTAATCTACACGATTTAATCTATTTACTTACCAATATTAAAAAGATAAGAAAAAATTGATAAAATATTTTTTAATAATTTCATAAAATTAATTATTAAAATGCCACAATTAAAAAAATTAACAAATATTAATGATGTTATTGTATTACAAAAATCAAATTGTCGTATTAAAGATCCTGATTTAATTATAAAAAAATTAAATTCATTTATTGATGGTGGAATAAATCGTTTACAAGTTGTTTCTGATTTTGATTATACAATAACAAAACAGCATGTTGATAATGGCAAATTAGTTTTAACTAGTTTTGGTATATTTAATGCATGTAAATCATTACCAAAGGATGTTTTAGAGGCTAGTAAAGAATTATATCATAAATATCGTCCATTAGAGATATGTCCAAAATTGGATATGAACGAGAAAATAAAATATATGATTGAATGGTGGTCTAAATCTGGTGATCTTTTAATGTAAGTTATTGAATTAAAAAAAAATTTTTAAAGAGTATTTTAGTAATTATAAGAAGAAACAATACCTTTTTTTTTTTTGGTTTTACATTAGTACAATAATAAACAACGCCACACAATATAAAGGTACATAAATGTACTCCTACTTATTATACATACAAAATTTTTATATTAAATGGCGATGAAAATAGTACAAAAAAAAAAAAAAACCCTTCAAAGCCAGACATAATATGTAGGTATACCTACCAAAAACCTACATCATATATTTATATACACAACTATAAACTACATAATATAAATGATAAAGTTGGCCAGATGAAAAATATTTGGTGTTCTTTCTTTTTGTAGGTACCTGAGACCTTTTTTTTTTTTTTAACCATTTCTTGCTTGTTTTTATTACGCAATAGATTTTTATATAAAAAAGATTGAATTTTTTTTGTAATTCAAAAATTATTTTCATTATTCTCCACTCATTAGACATTAAAATTCTTAAATTTCTTACTCAATTTGACTATTTTTATAACCAAATTTGTAAATATTATTTTTCAATTTCCAAAAATTGTTTATTCAAACAAAAAATGTTATTTACTTATTTATTAATAAACAAATTTTTAATTTTTTTTTTTTTGTAGGGGATTTCCCTTAGATGAAAAAGAAATCGATGAAGTTGCATCAAATTATAAAGATTGTCTTCGTGATCATTCTTTAGAATTATTTGAAACATTAAATCGTTTAAATGTTCCTGTTTTAGTATTCTCAGCTGGACTTGGGAATTCAGTTGTATCTGTATTAAAACAAGCAAATGTTATGTTTCCAAATATGAAAGTTGTATCAAATTTTTTGGAATATAAAGATGGTCTATTAAATGGTTTAAGTAAACCAATGATACATGCATTCAATAAAAATGAAACAGCAATTGAAGGTACTGAATATTATGATTTAGTACATAGCCGTGATCATATTATTGTTATGGGTGATTCACTTGGTGATGCTGGTATGGCAAATGGTATGCCATCATCTTCTATTATTATTAAAATTGGATTTCTTTATGATCATGTAATTTACAATTTTAAAACTTGTTTTTATTAATTAAATAATAATAATTTTTAAGGTTGAAGAAAATCTTGAACGATATATGGAGGCTTTTGATATTGTACTTATAGATGATCAGACAATGGATATACCATTAGCCATTCTTAAATTAATGGAAGACAAATAAATTTAAAATTTTGATATAATTAAATATAAAGATTTTAAATTATCAAAAATAAAACAAAAAAATTATAGACTTGTTAATAAAAAAAAAAAATTTATTTATATTTGATACAAAATAAAATAAAACATAAAAAAAAAATCACGTTAAATTATAAAAAAATATTTATAAAAAAAAAAAAAATAAAGTACATTAAGTGGAATTCATAAAATTATGTTTCATAAATATTGAAAAAATTCATGATTTTAATAATATAAATTAATATGAAAGCACAATTAGTTGAAAATTAATAATTTTTTATTGTATATAAAAAGTACAATTCAATGATATTTTTTTAGTTAATAATTTAAAACAAAAAAACCGTGATATTGAAACAACATTAATTATAACAAAAAATATTTCATAATATCAGCAAATAATTTTGTTTTTTTTTTTTAATACATACTTATACATTGTTCTATTTAAAATAGTATTAAAAAAGAATTTAACAAAAAAAAAAAGAAAAAGTGAATGTATTTAAAAAGAAGAGCAATAAAAAACAATCGGCTTAAAAATTATGAAATAAAAGAATTTTTATTTTTCCATGAAATTTTTTTTTTTTTTTTTGTAATCATAATGTGATAAGGTAATGTTGGTTATTTTTCATCAGCTTTAAGAGTTTTATATTTGAAATCAAGCTGTACATGGAAATTGTAAAATTCCATTATACTCTCAATTAATATCGTAGTTAATTGTACTGAATCTTAAGGAATATGACCAAAATGACGAAAATTGTCGCTTGTACTACTGACCCCAATCTTAATGCTTGACAATTGTTCTTAAATGAGCTCGCAAATACGAGTAGCTAAACAGTATTAATAAATGCATGTTAAATTTTATGATTACGTTTTTTTTTTTTTCGCAATAGTTGCCTATAGTTCTGCTATTGAACTTCTTTTATCAAATTTCACAAACTGACTTATTTTACTGCAGAGTCTTTACTTTTATGATCTTATCTATTCTATATTATGATTATGATCTAATTTATAATATTTTAGCAGTAGTTATAAGAAAACTTAAAAATTCCATTAGAATTTTAAGCACAATTATAGTTTCGGAAATATTTTTTTTTTTTTTTGTTGTAAATTTCGCAGTTTGAATTTATCAATAGTGCTCTTTATATTATGAGTTAAGTAAGAACCGAATTATCAAAAATTCCCTCGACATATTTTTTTCGACATTATTTTTTTAAAATAATTGACAATATTTCACTTTAAATGATTTCCATTAAAATGACGAGACTCTTAATAGACTCACTTTTTATATTTTATTATTTAATAGTGTTGTTACATCAAAATGCATTTAAATTGATTGCATTAAATTGGAAATATTCAAAAGAATTAACAAAAATTAACTTTCTTTAAGTGTTTGCTGCTCTTGCAAAAATTTTTATTTCCGTAGTGGCTTAATATTTGAATTATCATAATAAAATAGAAACAAACTTTTTTAATAAAATCATAAAAAATTGTATAAAATTTACGCAATTGCAATAAATTTATAATTTTTATAAAAATTATAAAAAGTATTTTAATAACACATCCATTTTCATTTCAATTACAAAATGTGTTTATTAAATTTTACGTCATAATTCTATAAATAGATTATTAAAGAGAAAATGTAAATAATACAGCTTCAATGAAAAACAATCTAGTATACGAAATTGTAAAATAGCATAAAATGAAACAAATTTTAAATATTCTTATTGTTATTATTATTTAAAATAATTTTTATTATCTACTTCTAAAATTATTTCCTTATTTGTCTTCAATAAACAGTATTGTATATTTAAGCAAAAAAAAAAAATAAAATAAAGTTAATATAATAATAATAATAATAATATAGGTAAATTTCTATGAATTAATATTATTTTTTTTTTTCATTTTCTTTTCATAAAACAGAAAAATATATAAAGTATGCAAGCTCGTAAATATATAACATTTAATATTTTTCTTCCAAATTTTATCAATCATCGATTATATAAATGATTGCATATTTTGAATTTTTTTTTTTAAATATTTTTTTATTGAAAATTTTTTAAAACTAAAACATTAAATTTAATAAACTAATTATAATATAAAATAAAATAAAATTTTAAATGTTATAAAACTAAAATCAATTTTATAATAAATGAATATTAAAATAACAAAAAATTAAATGATTTCAAAATGTTCAATTGATAAATTTATACTTTAAATAATAATAATAATAATTTTTTTGTGTATTATTTCAAAAACTTTTATATGTTCAATAATATAATTAAATTTCTAAATATTTTGAATAATATTTTATTTATATATTATTTAAATACAATCACAGTGATTTTGTTTTTTTCGTTTTTTTGTATTTCAAACAATTGATTTTCATATTTATAAACTTAATGCCTAATACTCTTATTATTATGTTATAAATTATATTAAATTAATTAAATTATAATTATAATATAATATAATTAATTATTATAATAATAATTAATGTAACTAAATAATTTTAATATCATTTTAAAATATCAAAATATTGAGTTGTTGTACTAGAAAAAAATTTAGATTTTTTCTTTTTTAAACTATTTTAACTTTATACAATAAAGTTTATAAAATGAAAATCAAATATTTTGATAATGAAATTTGTTTTTTTTTTTAATAATTATTCACAAATTCTATTTATATATATATAGTTATATAGTTATAAAGTAAAAAATAATTATTTAACAGATTTGAATTCAATTAGAAAACACTTAAATATAATAATTGTGGTAAAAAAAAAAAGAAAATATTCAAAATATAAAAAAAAAAAATTTACTTATTTTAAAAATATATTTTTGATAGCGATTATTTACATGCATTTGAAATAATAAAATTTTTAATAATTAATTAATTTTTAATAATAATTTTCAAAAATTTCAATAATAAATTTGTTTTTATTTGAAAATATTATTAATTTTAGTTTTACATAAAATATAAAACAAATATTTAACTATATACAGATACATTCTTTTTTTTTTTTTTGTTTTATCCTATACTAAAATTCTAATTTAATATTTTTGATTAAGATTAAAATTATTTTTTAAATTTTCGTTCTATACTCTATATATAAATATATTAAGTATTTTACATTAATTTTAAATATTGTTTACAAAACCAAAATAATTTTTTTTTTAATATATATTAACTCCTATAATTTTTTTTTTGTTTATAAATTAATTAGATTGTTTCTTCTTCATCATCATCTATGACAATGACATCTTTTAATTCAGAAATTTTCATATCAGCAATTTCATATGAATCTTTATCCTTTTGAGCAGAATTTTTAGTTTGTTTTGGAGTAAATTTTGTTGGAAGAAATATTTTCTAAAATTAATCAAATAAAATAAAAATTATTAATTTTATTATTTATGTTAATGACGTTTAATAGATCTATTAAGTCGCTTTCACATATTCCCATATTCTGTTAGTCGCATTCACATATTCCCATATTCTGTTAGTTGCTTTTGGAATGCAATATTATTGAAGTATTAAAGGAATAAAATTTTGAATTTCGGAATTAATTTAATTTCAGAAAAATTACAAGATTTTTAAATAACAATCCCATCACGTCTGGTGTTGAGGCGACTAACAGAATATGGGTCTATGTATATTCAAAGTGATATTTAATATTATTTAAAAATATAAATGCACCAATAACAGTCATCTAAATCATTCAAATAAATTTTAACAGCTAAATGGCTGATGTATTCTTAGTAAAATTTCATATTTTAAAATAAATATTTTCAATTTTGAGGGTATTATTTCTTTATTTGTTTTATCTATAAAATTTGAAACTATAATTTGTTCGTTTGAAACTATAAGGAAATGAAGAAATGGGGAAGCAAATAAAGAATTACAATTGTAGCAAATTTTAAATATACCATCACTTTACAATAAATAATTTTGATTTGAAGTATTAACAAGTCAAACTAGAGTAAAATATGAAAATTTACCGCCTTTAAAAAGTATAACAAGTCGAAAAGGTTGTTAAAAGAAAAAACTTATTTTTGTATAATGCCATAAACTCTTAAGTTGTACAATTTGCCTAGTTCTATAATTGTCACACTTTAACTGTATTTGAAAAATTTGAAACAAATTTAGAATAACTTGCTTACTATCAATATTTTTAAGGCTAAATTAAGAACACTTATTCACATATTCTAATTTAATAGTTGAATTGAATATGTGTTGGTTTTCTTTTTTGTTTCAAAGGTACAAATTTTGACTATACATATGTATATGAAAATAAATCCTATATTTACATGATTATTGTAATTAATTCATACCTTAAATTTTCCAGTATGATTAGTTGTGAAGCTCTGTTGATTTTTGAATGCAACAAATTCCCATTCAACATCACGTTGATATGCTGGACATTGTTTTTTAACAAATCTAAATTTTTTTAATAAACATTTTTTAAAAATGATTTAAGAATATTTTTTTTTTTCTATTAATATATTAATTACCCATTCAAATGTTTTGCAACAATTGCTATCGATGTTAAATGAAGAACAGATTTTGAATTTGTTTTTATTAAATACTCTTCTGTACCTCTTTTATAGCCGCCAAATTTAGGATAATCTTTTACTGGTGCAACAAAATAACCAGATGTATAACCTCTTAATTGTGGATCAGTTGATAATGTCGAAATTGATACTCTTTCACTTGAAACTGATATTTTTTCCGATATATTAGAAGAATTTTTCGTTTCAGAATTTAAAATTTTCTCGTTAGTTGAAGATTTTGGTAATATTTTGATCATTTTTTCTTGTTTAAAATTATTTTTTTTGGATGGTGATGAGGAATTTCTCAAATTATTTGGTATTTTTTTTACAGAATATAAATTTCCATCTTCTTTAGTATTCGATAATTTTTGTTCAGTTGCTATTTGCGATGTATTAATTTTTTCTTTATTTGCAATTTTAGCAGTTTCTAAAGTAGGAATTGTATTTGTGTCATTATTTTTATTTTTTTCTATAGATGTTACAGGAAAAGGGTTATATTTTTCTGGATAATAGATTCCAAAATTCTTTGCTTTGTTTGTATTCGTATTGAATTCAGTTGAAACTTTTGTATTTGACTCATTTTTCTGTTTTTCATTTGAAGTATTCAAAATTGATTTTACATTAGTATCAGATTTGGGTATATTTGAACTTTTAGATGAATTATTAATTGTGTTTTTCTCCATTTCAATATTATTTTTTACTATCAATTTATTTTTATTTAATTGTTCATCTTGGTTTTGATTTAATGTTACAGCTGTTTTTGTATTTGAACATTTACGATCTATTATTCCAATTTTTGGAACAGTTATTGGTTCATTTAATGTTAAAGTAGTTGGCTTGGTTAGACCTATTTTCAAAAATTTATCTTTGTTGATAATTCTCTCATTATTACTCGACGAACTAGTAATAGCAGGTGATGAAGTGGTTTTTGTATCACTTGGTTTTGAAATTTTTGTAATTATTGTTTTGATTGTATGTTTTTCAACCGGTAATTCTTTAGTTTTCAAAACAGGAACACTTGGTACTTTTTTCTCTAATAGAAGACTTGTATTTCCTGATGAATTTATAACTTTAACTTCGTTTTTTTTAACATTTTGTGAGGTAGGTGTGCAAATCGGGATACTTGAGTTTGCTTGGGTACCAACCGGCATGGATGTAATAGGTGAGGTAGATAATGTTTTAATAGTAGCGTTTTCAGTTGTTGGTATTGTTGTTGTTGCAACAGAATTAGCAATTGATCTGTCTTGGGAATTGTTCTGAGCATTTGATTGTGGTAATTGTTTGTTTAAATTATTATTTTCATGATTCATGACAGATTTCAATGTAGAATTTGTGTTGCTTGCCGGTTCTAAAATCAATGTTCCATTTTCACTTTTGGACACTGTAAATTGCTGCGATAAAATTTTATTTTGCAAATTTTCAGGTAATTTAAGTATTAATTGGCCATTTTGTTCCTCAACCTCTGCAGTAACAGGACCTTTTGCAGTAAACTCTCGCGATGTCACTATGTCATTTTTGTTATCGTCTATTACAGGCTTCGAAGAATTCGATTCTAAAGTTTTAGATATTATAACTTGATTATGTTTCCCAATTATTTTTGAATCTGACTTACCTCCACTTTCTTTAGATTTAAAGCTTGCTTTTAAAGGGCGAGTAAAAGTAGTTGGAGTAATAGAGGGTTTGCATCCTACAGTCGTGGACGTAGGTGTATTATTTGTTGTATAGAACTGTGCCTTTTGAACGGAACTGATTGGAGACAATATTCTTTGTGACGAAACAGTATTAGTTAGAGGAACCATAGGTTTAGGCATCAATGGTGCTGTACGCATATGAGGACCATATACGGTTGACTTTGCTAATGAAGTTGAGGGTTGCGTTAAACTATTCGAAGATATTACTGATATATTATTAATGGAGAAGGGTTGAGTAGTTTTAACTTGATCTTTTGAATTCAATATTTTTTGAGTTTCAATTATAAGTTCTCCAGACTTCGCTAGTACAGTGGGCTTTATATTTGGATGAACAGTAATGGAATCATTTGTCATTTTTGAAAATATCCTTTTTTTGGCAGGTGGTTCGTCATTCAATGTAGTATCAGTTACCAAAACTGAGTTTTCAGAAATATTAGATTTGGAGGTTGCAATTTGGTTTGCTGGCACAGTTTTCGCACTTGATGTTATCGAACTGATAACGAATGGTTTTTTATACATTTTGTTAACTTGCTTAATAACTTGCTGCACCGATTCCGTACTAACATTTGAAGCAACGGTGGGAGTAAACATATTAGTATTCAAATCAATATTTTTAGCAGGAAAACCTGACACAGAAACGTTATCACACTGTGACTGAATAAGTGGCATATTTTCCGGAAGTAATTGAATGAGTGAATTTTCATTATAACTAATTCCCTTGTAACTTTGATATGGCGTTGACACAACTTGATGTTGTTTTAAAAATTTATCAATGTTTTGCTGATTTTGTTGTTGCAACTGTATTGAGGATATATCTGACGTCCACGGCTCCATATCAAACATTATTTTTTCATTTTTTCTGCATAACCAAAAACCTGTTGTATGTTTCAATCGTTTGATACCACGTGAAGCTTCATAGTCTTCTCTTGACACCATCTTACCATCAACATTCTGATATAACATCAAAACTGGATCAATTGTTTCATGGAAAGGTCCTAAATAAATGCGCTTTTTGTCAAATTTCATAATATAACAGTCTACTGATCGCCCATCAACTTTAGGAAACCTGACCATTTTCTTTTCGGTTTGAGAACGTTGCAATGCTAATTTAATTTTACTATGTGCTAAAATTTCCATGCTGTTCATGAAAATTATATGAGAAAAATCATCTTCCAAATCTAATACGAGCCACCTATGATCATCTAAACTACTTGTTATAGGAACTTGAAAATGTTCAGTCATAGCCTCCTCCCGGGTTAATTTTCTTATTTTAATATTCATTTTCAAATTTTTGAATTTATCGGAATCTTTGTTATAAGTGGCACTGTTGTTGAAATTTGGTTGTGAAAAATCGTTAATTTGATTTGAGTTAGTTAAATTTCCTAAATTACTGTTGTTATTGATTACAACCATTGCTGTCGGTGTTGTTAATTGGTTAGCTTTCATTATCGGCTTTTGCAGTTGATTAATTTGAACATTGTTACACTGATTGGATGAATCTAATTTTATTTTTTTGTTTGCGTTTTGTAAATTTGCAATTGAAGTAGGGGTTACTAGCTGTGCTGGTGCAGATTTTCGCTTCAAATTTTCAATATATTGTTGAGTTAAAATATTGAAGAGCTTATTTATTTTTGGTGTTAAGTTGGGATGTGATTCTGTAGTAGGTCGAATTACTCCAACTTTCGTACCTTCATTAATCGATTTTGTCATTCCCAAAATTCGCCAATAATCGCGATGTCCGTTCATCAAAATAGATAAAGAATCCGTTTGCGCATTAGATAATTTTGAATTTAACATTTGCGCAAAAAGTGGCAAATTTTCTCGGCGAACTGCTTTTATATTTATAACGCCGATAGCATTAACTACATAAGGCATTGCATACTTCATAGTACCCACAAAATAGGTTGCTTTTTCAATTTTAACCTCCCAAATGTGTAATTTATCTAAATCAAATTAAAATAATTGTTAAAATGTCTATCAATTTACATAAAAACTTTTACCTTCAATATAATACTGCAGAAAATGTTTCCAGCGAACAGCTACCATCATTTCTACTTGAGGATTAGGAATATTAGCACTATCTTCTGATTGAATTTTTGTAATATTATGCATCGTTTTTGTAACGGAGAAATTTAACCGTTTCATAACTTCTTTTTGAACTTGTTCGGCAGCTAACGTAAATTGTTCACAGTTATCAAAACAATTCGAAGGAAACTGCAAAGATGGAAACTTTTGTTCCTCATTCAATGGTTGTTTCATATCGTTTTCATTATCCAAAACATTTGAAGCTTCGATTTTGTCTTTTTGAAGAGTTGTATTTCGTTGATCATTCAAGGAAAAAACTGACGAAATTTTAAGAAGGGGTGAGGAAAGTTCTGAATTTGAACTAGAACTTTTTGTAAGTTGAGATTCTGTTTGTGAATCTGATTTTCGTGTTGTTTGCGTTAAACTTTGCTTTGCATCAGCTTCCCGTTCATTTGGAGATTGTTGGTTCGGTTTGGAATTGGAAGTACTAAGTATTTGAGACTTAGAAGTGTCTATGTCTTTCAGTTCTTTGCCAGATGTATCGATAGCGTTTAGAGATTGATTTGGTTTTAAATTATTGATACTACTATTATGCGTACTATTATTATTGTTTGTTTCAGGCTTGGAGTTTTGTAAGCTTCCAGGTGGACGTTTAACTATAATTTTACGAACGTAACTTTCACTTAGACGGACTTTTTCAATCAATAAAAATTTAGTCTGATCATTTTCAACAAATTTTCTCCAATGATTTTTAATTTCTGGACGCTTATTACGTATTCTATAAACCCTTGGAACTGGCTGAACGCGATGACAACCATAAAAATCATTATTTATGTACGCCGATATGATGCGATTTTCTTTATGCTTTTGTTCTGGCGTAACAATTTCTAAAGCATTAGTTCGTCCCCTGTTTGCTTTTTCTGGTTTGTTTTTCGACATATTTTCATTCGACTGTTTTGAAATGTTCTCTGAAGTTTTATCTGGTTTTATTTCAGTTTTCATTAATTTCTTTTGGGGTTCAACAGGTAAGCTTTCGTCCTCACTTTTGTCGAATGAATATTTTGCTTTACGGGAGTAAACTTCACCTGGCTTTTCTTCTTCAAGTTTCTTAAGTATATAAGGTTTACCTTCAGTATCTTTTCCATTACAAAAGCATTTATATAAACAATGCACCATACACCATTTTACTTTATCATCAAAATATTTTAGTGGATATAAATCTATAGTGCAGTGCTTTAATAATTTCATAATATCTTCATCCACGTAACAGATACCACTGATATCATTTGGAATTTTGGCCTCTTTAACTGGGGAGTTAATATCTTTTGATTCTTCATCATGTGATAAAAAGCTAGATGGTGAAGCTGAATTCGCGCTGGTTGGGGTTGCATTTCTGGAGCGAGAGCTAGTAAGAATTCTCGGCTCTTCATCTTCCAATCCTTTAGTGTAATAATTAGTTAAACGGGCATTATTTCGACGTTTCCGTTTTGTTTGATTTTCGTTTATCAACAATGTTTCATTGCCAGTGAGCACCACAGTTGAAGTAAATTCCCGTTCCATTCGAGCCAATCTTGCGGTTGCTTTTTGCCGTAATACAAATGCATCTTCTGAAGTTATTACTGAATTCTAAAATAAATTTTAAGTAATACAATAAAAAATTGTAAAAAAAAAAATAAGTAAACAAACCTCAGCCTCAATGAGAGTCAAAGGGCAACTACATTTTTCCAACATACAATTAATTTTTTTGCAATGATTCTTGGGTACATTATTATTACCCAAACTTGCGCAAATACACCCCAACCGGCAAAAGTCTTTCTCACACACCTTTGGTTTGGCTACTATGTTAAAAAATAATTGTTAAAAAATCAATATCGTTGTTTTATTCATTTTGTTTACAATTCTTACCGATTTTAGCATCAGAGGCATTTATTATCGTAGCATTTAATCGTTTCAACTCCTTCCTAAAATTCAAAATTTAAAAATACTCTACGTAATCAAGTGGAGCAAATTTCTTACATTAATTTCGATTTCGGATTTCCCCCACTTTTTGCAGTCTTCCTTTTCAGTTCTGAAGTTTTGGTTTTCTGTATTTGTTCATTAGTTTCTTCAATATTATTAAACTTATTTCCTTTTTCAGATTGCTTTATACTAGCCCCTTTTCCATTGTCATATGTGATGTCAGGATCATCATAAATAAATGAATTTTCACTTAGCCCAATTGCTACACTATCAATCATATCGGATAAGACATCAGCACATTCAATAGTAATTTTATCACTGCTATTCTCAAGAATCGAACGAAATTTCAATTTTTCCTTATTATCAAAATTTTCAGAACGTCTGAGCACTTTTCGAACCAAAATGTGAGTTTGGTCATTTAAATAAGGTATTGTAAATTTAAAGGAATTTTTTGCCTGAATAATTTTTCCCTTGTCTTCATCATGATTAATTTCGTTGCTTTCTTGGTTAGCTTTTTCGACTAATGTCGAAACAGCAAACTCAGCCCATTCTTTTGTTATACTTTCAGATGGCAAGACTAATTTTAAATAACTTTTTATATAATCGTCTAAAGGTTTATTCAGTTTTGGATATACCTCCAATTCTATTTTTGGCATTCTGTAAATCTCCAATTCATTTAAACCCCCCTCTAAGTCATTTAATAATTTTTTTTTAAAACACAAAGGACCAGGTCGATTCTCTTCTTTGAGCATTTTAATTTTTTTCATTTGAGAAATCTGCATTTTCATCCGTGGATTCTTGTATCTTACTCGAATACATTGCCATGTTTTTCTATCAGTACAATTTAATGAACAGTTTCTGTTCGTATGTAGTAAATCCTTTTTCATAATAGGTGAACTGTATTGAGGCAACATTTTTTTTATTGGAAAATTTCCAAGACCAGACAAAATTTTACATATCCTGCCATCAATATCAGCAGTTTGAAAGTAAAATTTCTCATTCTCTGTTAATAGCCAACAAGTTGCTTTCCATAAATCCCGACTTGCTGGAACTCTACTGCGTTGAACTGCTCTTACAAAACTTGTATTAATTCTACCGTCTCTGGTTCTTCTCTTAAGTTCATGATAGATAGTATTCTCATTTTCAATCATAAAATATTTAAAGCTACGTTGCTTTGAAAAAATCATTCGTTTTTCGGCAAGTGTTCTGGGTTTTGACATTTCATCAGGCAAAGCTGCCATTTCAAATTTTGGCGGTGGTCGATCTGAGTGAACTAAACCTTCTTCGTAACGTTTTGGTAAATTCGTATACCGGAAAGTTTTGATCGGGCCAGGTTTATCATCTTTACTAATGAAGGCCGAAATATTGGAAAATGTGGGAACAGCTGGTGTTGGTAACATACCTAGGAAATAATTTTTATTTAACATTATATTAACACAAAAACATGCAGAAATAATAATCATGATCAATTTTATTGCGTTACTGGATTCGCATTCTATTTTCTTAAAATTTGAATTTTAATATTTATAGGTATTCATGAAGAATTCATAAAGTAGATGGAACTTTTACAATTTTCTAAATACAACGAAAATATAGTAACAAAAGTAGCAAGAAAAATTTTAACAAGAGATGATGCGAATACAGCAACAAATTTAGTTCATTTAATATTCAAAATTCAAAGTTATAATATACCAGGTATTTGCGGTTGAATCATTTCGTTGCAATTAAATCCAAAGAAATCGTCCGAACTAGATGAATTGTCGTCATTTATTTTTGAGCCATTTGACAAATCAGTACATGACAAATTATTTATTTGTTCAACAGTTTTAACTGATATAGTTTTTTCTAATGGTTTCCCTTTTTCTTCTTTATCATTTCTTTCATTTCGGCTTTCTAAATTATTAACCAATTTACTAATTAGAGAATCCACAATGCTTGTACTTTTTTTTGGCAAATCAGTAGATTTTAAAAAATTATCATATAATTTATTTGACGATGATTTGACATTATTTTTTGCATCATTTTCACTTGCTGCAGAATCATTATGAGTTTCTTGAAGTTTTCTATTTACGTTTGTAAACAATACCGGCTCTTTAGTAGACGGTCCCGCTTCTAAAGCATCTTTTTCACTTATTTCGAATGAATCAACTATTGAGCATTTCGTTCGGCCATTAGAAATTATGAATTTGTTTTTAACTGTGCTTTCAATGCTTTCATTTAATTCATCTGTTAATCTACTTTCTATTTCTGATGCCTTTAAAATTACAATATCAGTACTGCCAGTATCTTCACCTGACTCTTCAAGTTCGTTATTTATCTTGGAATTTTCCCCTGACAAACGTTTATTGTTTAATAATGTTGAAAGTTTCAAAGTTGATTTAGGTTTTTCATTTAAGATTGTATTTGAATTGATTTTGTCAGTTATTTTTTTTTCTGACAACAAAGACAATGATCGTTTGCCGTATTTTAGTAATTCAAGTTGAGTTTTTAATTGTAGTTCAATTTGCTCTGGAGATAAAGCACTTTCTTCTAACTCAGATATGGGATGTTCAGAGTCTGAATTTGAAATGGTGTCAGCATTATCGTCATTTAATTCAAAATTCTCATCACTTGCTTCTGCAATGTTTAAACTGTTTCCTAATGCCGGATTTTTATTACAAATAAAAGGATTTTCTTCTTTATTTGCGTTATATTTATTTTGCGATGCATCTGATTTTTTATCAGGTTTATCATGCAATATAATTTTATTTTGCGGTATTGATTTATTCCCTTTTAAGTCAGCATCATTTTTTGTAAGTGTTAAACTAACATCTAAATCAACAATTGATGTACTATTTGATAACGAATTTTCATTCAAATCCAAAACAGAACTTTGAGTTTTAATGTCATTATTGCTTTCATCTGGTTCTAAAATACTTTTAACTTTAATTTTTTCTAACAATCGTTGTTTTTTCAAATAAAAAACAACTCTCTGAGACCATGGTAAAGCCTGTAGTTTTCTTATTTTATCATGAAATTTTTTATTTCGAATTTTCTTGATATTTTGATTATTTTTAGATGGATATTTATTTTTTTTCGGTACATTATACCGAATGAAAACTCTAGACTTCTTAAAAATCAATTTAGGTTTGTAAACGAAATGTAGACATAAAGAATATTTTATAAATTTTAATATACGCTCTAAATTATAATCTATAAATTCTAATGACACTGGATACTTTTTATGTAATCTATTAAAAACTTTCAATTGCTTTTCAGTTAACTTCATCTCGTAATTTTTCGGATGAACAGGTCTCGCCCTAAAATTAAAAAAAAAAAAAAAATAATTAATTTTTTATAATAAATGAAAATTTTCAGATATATATATGTATTTAATATTCAATTTATCAGATAATTACTTATTAAATAAAAAGCATCAATTATATGCTACTTTTATTATAATGAAAAGAGCAAATTTTTCCTTTGAACATTTAAATTCATCAATATGTATTTTAAATAATTTAAATTGAATTATTTTTCATGAAACGGCAACACTACTATGCTTCCAACGATGAACTTCGTATTTAATAAACAAAATGGCGGACACCTCTCCGAAACATTGGGCAACACAGATCTCTACTAACATTCATATATCAATTCCAATAAAAAATGATTTTAAAAGTTTTCTTTTCTAAATTTTTTCGAATCCTTTTCATTAAAATTTATAATTAAAACTCTTACTTAAGAGTTAAATTTAATATTTTTTATTTCTAATTTATTTTTAAATATGTAATTTTTTTAATTTACAGCTTAAAAAGAAATAATCACTCGCGATACAACACACCCTAAAATATTTTTAGCACGACGAAAATTGTACAACTAAAAAATGACAGCTCTTACGAAAAAAAAAACAAAACAACAAACAAGAAAAAAAAAAAAATAAAGGCAAAATTCAAATTTTTATATCGGAAGCTTACGTATACATAACCTCATTAAAAAATTTTGAGATTATAAAGAAGAGACTAAAAAATGAAATAGAGAGAAAGAAACACTAAATTTCTTCTATTTTTAAAATTTGGGGCGAATTCATAAATTGTACAATCTATATGCACTATGTGCTCAAATGACATTAAAATAAATATGTGTACATACACATATATATTATTTATACCTGAATACCTATAATATATATTCACAATATAGTATGTTAATCGTAGAAAATATACAATTATTAATTATAATAAAACTTTATTTAAACAAAATATTATGCGCAAATTTCTATGGAGGAAAAGATAAAATTTGAAATTTTATTAGAGTATTCTAAAATTAATATTTATTTTAATTTTGAAAGAACTAATATACTAATAATTAGATAATAATAAATTTGCAAAAAATATTTTACTTATGTTAGCAAGGTGTTGCCGTATTTTCAAAATTTCGAAAAATTCACGATACTAAAAAACTTTGGTAATGTATTAGGTTAGGTTAGGTTGAGAGACTATTATTTTTATGAAATTTCAACTTATAAAATTATTTGAACATGTTTGGACGTTGCTTTAAATTTTCTTATTCTTGAAAGTAATTATGAATATACTCGTATATGTTAATCTAGAGATACGAATAATAATATGTAAATATGTATATAAATAACTTACATTATATAATTTTCATGAAAAGGTATGTAACGTGATTTAGGTACTTGTTATAAAGACTATATATTTTTATTTTATGTTTTTACATATTGCACGTTCATTTTTCTCGGAGAAAACAATAAAAAAGTAGAACAAAACTATTTTGAACTTCATAAGAAAATATACAACTGTATATTTAATTTTCTGTTTTGTTTCCACAAGGTCAAAAACCCTGAGGTACATTTTTGACATTAATGTACCTATATATCGTATCTAGGAACATTTATGTCAAAAACACGTTGAATATAAAATTGTATTACGGTTTAAACAATATTTCATTTCAAACAAAACAAGTTCATTTTGCAATATTTAATGCAATAACAAGTTTTGAAAAAATTAAAATATATTTCAAAGAAAATTTTGAGTATATTTTTACGCCTTAAAATATATTTTTGATTTTAACATTGCTCATCATACAGTTTGCAATGTCTTAGCCACAATTATCTTTAGTAGTAATACATAGTCTATATTAGTATCGTTTCTTTTTCAAACTTTTTTAAGTTTTCTCATAGAAATTGCATAGAGATAGATTTTTGAGATTGTAAAAGTTTGACATAATTAATATATAAAAAAAATATTAATGAAATAATTTTATAATTTTGGGGCGTGCACTGCGGCTGACAGAAATTGGTTGGACCGTAAGAGAGAGTAATAGTCCACAAGTGACAAATTTATACGTATTATTTTGAAAGTTATATTATATTAACATCATAAATCTTCCACAAAACCAACCTTTTTCAAATTTTTAGTTAAAAAGAATTAAAATTCAATAATATTTCTATTGTTTTGTGTTATAACAACATTGAACTTGTATTTTATTTTAAAAATACCTTCCAGACTCTGTTAATTTTTTAAAGATTTCAATAAATTGCTACACTACAAAAAAAGAAAAAAACCGATAAGTTTTAGGAGATACGAACAATAGCAGAAATACATACATAATATTATTTATAAAATATTGTGAATAAATAATTATCCTATCCGTACCCTATTACAGAAGAATAATATGATTGATTTTTTATTATAGTAGCGGTGTTAGTAAGCCTAATTCACATATGATTAACGTAGACTTCCTCGACAGGAACTTCAAATGTTAGGTAGTTTTATAACATTCTTTTCTATAGGAGACAACTTGAAACGATACATTTTTTATAATAACTATATAAGTATAAACAGTATAATCATTACAAAATTTAGTCGAATAACAAATTTAAAATCTAATACAAATTTAATTGTATTTATTTTATTTTGTGTATTCTAAACTAAAAAATATAGCGACAAAATTTTTTTTCTTATTCAATGTATTAACATTTTTTTGCTCTCAATTCTCTCAAATATTTTGCCTGATGGTTTACAAAAAATGCGGTAAGAACTCGAAAATATATTCTAATCTAAATTATAGTTAAAATTTCGAGTTGAATTTTAAATTTTCAAAAGTTTTTAGGTTTTAATTAAATTTTTTCATACTAAACTCCAAATGAAAATAGGCGAAAATTATCATTTATGTATTTTCAAAAAAGAAATTCGCTTCTTTTGCAGAAATTTTGCTTCTTTTCTTCTATTTTTTCGGAACTTTCCCACATATATTCACATAAAAACAAGAGTTTAACCCTTGATATATTGCTATGTCAAGATTGGAATACAATTTTGTTACACTCCAATAATGCAAAAAACCATTCGTCGTAACGAAAGCAATAGTCTCGTAATCGGTTGTTATATTCTATTTAATTTATTATCTAATCTCTTAATTTTTTGGTTTAATTTTTTTGGTTTCAAATATAAAACGACATTTCATTATTCATTCACTACATATTTTGTGACCCGAAACGGTAACGTAGTTAAAAAAAACAAAAACAATAAGTTGAAATTACAGGAACAAATAATCCAATTTAATATACAACAGTGTTTTAATTCAATAATTAGGAAAATATGCCATTTTAAAAATTATCGATTTTGAATCTGCAATGCATTTAGATAAAAATGTAATGCTTCGTTTAAATATTATGGATTTTATTGCCTTTTTAAGAAGAAAAATACCTTAGAAGGCATATTTTTTTTTCATTTGTATCAAATATAATTAATTAAGTAATGCAATTTTGTTAATTAATTAATTATTAATTAGAAAAATTTGCAAAATCCCTGGTTGCATCAAAAATCAAAACACTGATAAGCTAGTTGGATAAGTTAAAAACAAAATAGAAAGCAAAATGGGTTGATTCAACAACGCCCTCTGATTCCCCTATTTTTTAACAGAATCTGAAACCAAAATGAGCTCTGAATTCGGTTCGGCTTAAATTTTTTCCTGAAATTATGCGAAGCTAAACACATTTACATTTTTTTTTTTTGGTTATGTATACTTTTTTATGTTTATTATTCATATACATTCGCAGGTACATGCGTTAGTAACATTTATGATGCCTTTTATAAAAATGGCATATTTAAGGTAAAAAAATTTTTTTATCGGCAAACATTTTGGTTTTTTTTCCTGCCATATTTTTGTTTTCATATCAGGTTTTCTATTGGAAAAAATTTTCTAAAATTTAGTGAAAATTTTAAAGAACACAAAGTTTTGTAAAGCTTTGATGTAACCGGACCAGACAAGTAAATAATAAAGCACGAACAATTTTGTTTTTTGCTATTGAAGCTACTAGTCTACAGTAACATAACGTTTACATATCAAAAATTAATGTAAGTTGGTTGTTGAAGTCACAATCAACAATGTTTGGTGTGTAAACGCTAACTAAAAATCATGATGACACAATTTGATTTGTTTCTTATCATATTACTCCAGTTGATGCATACATATGTGATCAACATCACAATGAAAAAAAATAATGCAAATCACATATCACAAATCAATGAAACAGCCAAATGAAAAATCAAAATTTACTCTTAGCATGATTTTGTTTATAAACAATAAAATAAAAAAAAAAATAAAAAAGAAACTGCATAAAATTTTTGTTAAAATTTGGCACGACCATCCATTACAAAACTTATACATATGTACATATGTATATAAGTATGTAGTTAAATCCATATTTATTTTCTCGTACTGATATTGCAGTGTAAATACTTTATTTTCTCTTTAAATACTCCATGGATACCTATACTATACTGTATATATAAATCTTATTATCTTAATTTTAAGCTAATTATGTCATATAAATGTTACATCAATTGAAGATAGGATTTTTAAAATATGTACAAACTTAGTTTATGCTATAACATATGACGTAAGTACATATGTTTTGAAACGCGTTTGTTGCAGGTATTGAACGCCATGGAGCCCAGGCCAGATTACTAAAAATGCTCAACCTACATTAATATACTTAATATGCAGTCACATAATATGCCTTTGTACACATAAAAACAAAATGAAATTGATTTATAACTGCAAAATATTGAAGGAGGGAATTGTGAAAACATTAAGTCCGAGTGAAGGTAAGATAACGAGACGACAAAAATAAAAAACACGACTAAGTTAAATTTTAACAATTATTAAACAGGGGTATTTTTAAAACAACTTGATTAAAAAATAGTTGAGTTAATTTTCTACTAAGCTAACAGAATTGAGATTCAATTCGGTCTCGTGAATGAA